TGACATTTGGGCTGTGCTTTAAAGGATGATTATAGTTTTCTCAGGCAGGGAAGGGAGACAAGCGTAAACCAAGGGACCAGATTAAGCTAAGTTATAGAAGCAAGACGTTTATGTTAGAATCTTCTCATTTCCCCCCAAATATCCATTCTCTTCCTGAGAATGCTGACAACTTTTAGGTCGGCACATGGTGGCTGGAGTAAACAGGTTTCCTGCTTTCCTTGCAGCAGACAGGTCTGTCACTTGTCATGCAAATAAAAGTGGTAGGTGTCAATTTTTAAGAACCTCTAAAATATAGCTGGCATCCATCCTGTACCTTTTTCTTCCCTTTCTACCTTCCTCCCGGCTGGGACATAGGCCTGATTCCGGGACTTTGCGCAACCATCTTTGACCATGTTAAGAATGGGTCAGTGACAAGATCCAAGAAGCCTGGGTCCCCAGTACCCAGAAGTCCTAACTGGCCACCTCAGGATTTGTTTTACATAAGAAACAAGCTTCTGTGTTATTTAGGTCCCTAGTATTTGGGCTTTCTCTGAACTTGATTATAACTGATACATATTCTCTGGTTTAATTTATGTTGAAATCATTCATGCTGAAGCTGAAAGAGTGAATGGTGGCAGTTTATGATTCCCCACTAAGGAATTTGAACTTTATCCTATTGGTCGTAGGCAACAAAAGATTTCTGAGCCAGAAAATGAGAACTCTGCTTTGGGGAAAAAAAAAATTCCTCAGGCAGCAGGTTAGGGGACAGTTGGGAGAAGGGAGACACTAACAGAAGAGAACATCAGAAAATCCCAGGCTTCTGAATTTCAAATAAGGAAAATCCCCTGAAACTTCCAAGACCAGCATGGGGATTACCAACATTTCAGAGGCCAGCACAAGAGGAGACTGTGACAAGACCGTAGGAAGAATCAAACTTCAGATGGATCATCTCTTGCACACTTTCCACAAGTACGGAGGCTATTTTTCATTTTCAGGCCGAATAATTTCTCTATGGAGTGGGGACAGCTCTTCGGGCCCACTAAGTAAAATCCTTCTTAAATGGCTGGAAGAGGAACCCTGGGCTCCAGGGGACTGAGAGAAGACAAACAGGCATTACCTCCTAAACCAAAGCTGGGGCACACCTGATGCCCGGAGGCTTCATGACTCTGGCGCTCCCTGCTTGGTGTCTTCTGGGAGCTTCCGCCCTGCAACTACCTACAGCCACTGCCATAATATTGATGACTGCTTTGTGTCTTGGGAGATGAGATAAATAAGCCTGCTTTCCGCAGGGAAAGACTTGAGGCCCGGAAGAAGGTTCTTGAATTCACCTGTGTGGAGCAGGCAGGCCTGTCCTTGTGCCTGGAAGCTCTTGGCTGTGTCTACCAGCCTCATACTTGTTGGTAGGTGCCTTGCCCTGGGGAAGACACTGGGCCCAGCCAGAGCAGCTGGGAATGGTAAAGAAGACAGACTCAGGCCTGGGATGGCATCTGCCTGCATTTGCAGGCAGGAAAATCCTGGGAAGACAGCAGAGCTGACCTAAAAGGTAAGGAGACATTCGCACTCCCTGAAAGAAAAACAAGCTTTCCCTATGCCCCTAACCCTTTGCAGTGTATAAGCCCTTTTACGTGTATCTCCATTTGATTTTTACAACTTCCTTGAATCATTGAGATTTTAATTAATATCATAACTTTACAGAAGAGGAAGACACCAAGAGAGGCGAAGTGAGTTGCTCAAGGTCACACAGCAGGCAGCAGATCTGGCACCAGAGCCAAGCCAGCTCCCCTGACCCTGTCTGGTCACCATACCAGTCAATCCTGATTTTTTTTTTTTTTTTTTTTTTGGCCCCACAATTGGCCCTGTGCTCCCTCTTTTCTCTGGACTCCTTGATTTTGTACAATGATAATTAGCATGTCAATCAGAAGACAGTTCAAATTTCCCTGAGTCTGTGTCTCATGGGGAGGCAGGAAAAAGGAGAATCAGGTGGCCACTGAAGTCATTCAGGTAAGAGATCATTTGTTTATTCACTTAATAAACATATTGAACACCTACTATGTGAAAAGCACTGTTAATAGATGTTAGGGATACAGTAGGAGACAAAAAACACAGCCCCTGATACCAGGGAGCTTATATTCTAGTAGAAGAGAAAGACCATGAACAAAAAGAAATAAGGCAATTGCAGAGTGTGGTAGATGCTGTGAAGGAAAAAATACAGTGATATCATATTGACAGGATACTTGAGATAAGGAGGGCAAGGAAGGTCTGAGGCCTGAGAAGGGGCCAATCATATTACAGACAGAGGGAAAAGCACAGCTAAAAGCCCTGATGTATGAGCAATATGACAAGACCTGCACTCGCTTAGGAAGTGGGAGTGAAGTGGATGGATTCGGCAACATTTAGAAGGAAGGACCGGAAAAAAAAAAAAAAGGAAGGACAGACTAGATGAGGCGGTTGAAGGTTGAACTTCAGCACTTTGCCGATGGAAGGTGCCACTCCCTAAATTAGGAAACTCTGGAGGAGGAGCAGGATTTAGAGACAGGCATTTTCCCTGTATGGGGCTTTCATTCCCATCTGTATAACAGATGTAGTCTGATCACAGACTACGTGACACAGACACAGACTACATGACATCCAAGGTTAGAACCAGTTCTTAAGAATATTATGATCCTCATACTACTAAATTCCAAATGGATCAAAGATTGCAATATAAAAAAGTAAGTCCTAAAAATAACAGAATAAGCCATGGGAGGTGTTTTTCTTTTTAAATCTCAAAGTGAGAAAAACTACAACACAAAATCCAGAATCAAAGAAAAATAAAGGGTGGATTAATTTGACCCCATAAATATCTTATGTTTTTGCATAGCAGAAAACATTCTGGGAAAAGTCAAAAGTCAACAAACTAGGAAAAAATACTACTCATCTAACAACTGATTTCGCTAATATATAGGGAGCTCCTATGAATCAGTAAAAAAATGGGCAAAGGGGGAGGCTGGGTGGCTCAGTCAGTTAATGACTCTTGGTTCCAGCTCAGGTCGTGATCTCAGCGAGATTGAGCTGAGCCCTACATTGGGCTCCTAACTCCGAGGGAAGTCTGCTTGAGATTCTCTGCCTCTGCCCCCGCTGCCTCCACCCCCCATCGATTTTGCATTCTCTATCTCAAATAAATCTATAAAAGGGGGAGGGTGGCTCCTGGGTCACTCAGTAAGTTGAGTGGCTGACTCTGGATTTCGGTTCAGGGTCCTGGGATCAATCCCAGGCTCAGCGGAGAGTCTGCTTGAGAATTCTCTCTCCCTCTCCATGCCTGCCTTATGCGTGCTCTCGATAAATCTTTTTAAAAATTAACAGCAACAACAACAAAAAACAAGCAAAGGATATAAGCAGACAAAGTATAAGCGTCTCTTAAATGAATTGAGGCTCAGTCCACTCAAGATAAATACAAACTAAACTACCCCAAGATAGCATTTTTCAGCGATTAGATTGACAAAGATCATAAAATTTGATAACACAGTGTTGATGATGAGATAGAGAAACAGGTACTTATGGAGGAGAATTGAGCAATATCTATCCAAACTATACTTGCCCACACCCTTTACCCCAACTATCTTCTAGGAATAGATACTACATATATATATATACAAAGTTACTCGTTGCAGCGGTTATAACAAATGGTTTGAACCTATCAATATCCTTCAGTAGGGCACTGATTAAATAAATTACTGTGTATAACGCCATTTCATAAGCCATAAAAATAATCCTGAGGAAGCTCCTTTTGTACTGATGGAATGACTTTCAAAATAATAGTAAGCACAAAACTGTACATACAGCACACCCCTATTGCTTTATTTGTGTAAAATACCTCCCAAAGGGCATTTAAGAAACTGATTACGTTGTTTGCCTCTGGGAAGGGAAACGAGATGGCCAGAGGACGGAGATGGGAAGACTTTCCACTGTATCATTTGAAACAGTTAATGAATTATCCTTTCAAAATGGAATTTTAAGGGGCACCTGAGTTGCTCAGTCCTTTAAGACTCTGCCTTCTGCTTAGGTCATGATCTCAGGGCCATGGACAGAGCCCTGCTTTGGGCTCCCTGCTCAGCGAGGAGACTGTTTCCTCCCTCTACTCCTTCCCCCGCCTGTGCTTCCTCTTTATCTCAAATAAATATTTTTAAAATAACTATATATATATATATATATATATACCAATATTTGAGTTCCTATCTCGGTCCAGATACTGTTCCAGGCAGTATATTCTTCCATATATACTACCCCACTTAGTTATCCATTTAGTCCATTGAAATGGGATAAATCATTCTAATTTTACAATAGAAAATAAACTGGCCAAGTAATTTAGTCAGTGTCAAGCCTAATCTAGTTTCAAAACTCCAGCCTTCCCCACCTTCCACACTGCTTCTATTGAAACAACCTGTCCTATTTTTAAAATAATATTGGTATTTATTGGACACTTGCAATGTGCTGGGAACAGTACTAGTGCTTGACTTATCTATTCTCATATATAATTCTCCAGTCGGCTCTGGAAGGTTGGAATTTCTATCCCCCTTATACAGAGAAGACAAATGGGGCTTAGAGAGGTGGCGCGTAACAGGTCCAAGGTCACGGATACAAAGACGGTTAGAAGCCAGCCTTAACTCCAAAGCTGCTGAGAAGTCGAAACCACTCCCGGTTCAAAGGACAAAAGCAGAAATGCTCGCTGAGCCAGGACAGTTGCAGGCACTTCCGGTGGGGGGGAGCGAAGCCTCCCGCCTGCGAATGCGGCGCAGGCCCAGACACAGCGAACTCGCGAGACGACGGACGGAGAGGGGGAGGGGGGGAAAGACTGCCCCGCGCCGCAAGCACCGCCTGTCGGTCACCTGGCCCCGCCCCACGTCGGCGCGCCCCTGGGCAAACCCCGCCCCCACTCCTGGCCGGGCGGGAAGCGAACGCGCGCTCCCTCCCGTTACCCTCCGCCTGCGGGGAGGGCGGGGAAGGCGGGAGGCGCGCGCTCGCGTGTTGCGTGCTCGCGTACGTCGCTGGGGTTCGGCTGCGTCCGTCCCGCCGCTCGCCCGTTGCCGCCGCCGCCGTCGCCGCGCTCTCGCTTCGCCGGCAGCCGCCTAAGGGGGCTGGGGCCGGGCCAAGCCGTCGCCGCTGTTGCCGGGATGCCGCGGGTGTACATCGGCCGCCTGAGTTACCAGGCCCGAGAGCGCGATGTGGAGCGCTTCTTTAAGGGCTACGGGAAGATCCTGGAGGTGGATCTGAAGAACGGGTGAGGAGGGCAGAAGAGGGGTCGGCCGGGTGGGAACAGGGCCCCAGCGGTGGTGGGGAGGCCGCGGGGACAGGAGAGGGACGCCTGCCCGGCGCGGAGCTGCTACTGGCCTGCTCTGGCTCCGCCATAGTCGCGGCGCCTCGGGGGCGCGGGTAGGCCCTGGTTCCCACTGCGCCTGCGCGGGTGGGGGTGGTGGAGGGATAATGGGAGCGATGGTGAGGATCTGAGTGGGACGGGGAGAAGGAAAACCCGAGTGGGATTGGGGCTCCGGGCGGGAGGGTACGGCTCCAGGGCGCCGGGGAGGCCTGGGTTTTTCCTTCCCGGGCCCCGGCAGTGGGGTCTGGTTCGTCTCCGGATAGAAACCGACCTTTCCCGCTCTCAGGGCTGCTGGAAATAAACAGGATTTCCTGCTCGCTTTTCACCTCTTGGCCAGTCTAATGGATCAGACAGTCACCACGCATCTTTCGCGAGGCCAGGAGCTCCGGAGGGAGGCCCTTTTTTGACGTGCATGTGTCACACTTTTTTTGGGCGGGAGACTCGGGTTTGAGTGAGTAGTCTAGTGACAGTTTCGAAAGTATCGTCTTGACGCGCTGAAAGCCTTGACCATTCCCCCCCTACAAGGGTAATTTAAAGTCTTGATTCGTTATCTTTCAAACTACGTACAGAGTTTCCATACTGTGGTTTCCGTTCTACGACTTGCCAAAAAATTGCTTTGTCGTTGTAGAATTTGTTAGAAGGTCGTGGCCTCCCTGGCTAGTATCTGCGGCAGCTAGTTAAGGAGACGGAGATTCCCAGCTCGAAATTGCTAACTTACTGCCTCCCCGGGTTTGGTCTGTTACTTGTATTCCTGATCTACTTTGGCAAAGCAGGGCCACCCGGGGCTACACGTTTCAGGGAAAAGAGATGAGTCCTGCTCGGAGAAGATACTCAACGGGGAAAACTAGGAGAGCCAGGAAACGTTAGGTAGGACTTCAAACACATAGATCTAAAAATTAAAAGGAGTGGGGGGGGGGGACATTTTAGGGTACTAAACCTTGAATGTTAGAGGAACTCTTGGCTTATTTAAAAAAAAAAATGAAAGACATTTGCAACAGGTCTGATAATGGTTACAGGTTACTCTCCATTGTAATACTAGCAACTAACACTTGAGAAGTTGGGAAAATTACCTCAGTTGCACATTTGAGACAAATTGGTAGCTTCTATATACTCACATTGTTGGTTGGCTTTAAAAGTTATTTCAAAGAAATTGTTAGGAAGAATCACCTTCTTACTAAGGAAAATGTCTTCGATAAAAGTGTTTATTATGGGGCACGTGGCTGGCTCAGTCGGTGGAGCATGAAACTCTTGATATCCAGGTTGTAAGTTCAAGCCCCATGTTGGGTGTAGAGATTAGTTTAAAAAAAAAAAATTTTTTTTTTTTTTTAAGTGTTACTATGAATACCGATTTAGAGTAAAAGGTTTAGGAAATTACTCACTTGGTACAACAGAGCTTTTGGTTCTTAAGGAATTTAAGATAAAGTGGGGTTTTGTTGTTGCTTGATACACATATGAAAGATGAAGTGGAAACTCCCAGTTTTCTTCAGAGGCCAACTAAGTTGACAGAGTAAATTTTGTCATCAGTTTTCTTATCTCCAAGGGAAAGGAGCATTAGAGATAATTATAAAGCATTTGGCTCATAGCTGTAAATGGTAGCTGTAATCAAATGGGTTTTGACTGTGATCATTAGGAGACAGTTTCAGTATTTGGTAACATGAAGCGTTATTTGGTGAGGTCTGTTTTCTAAAGTTACTCAAGTGATAGCAGGAAATAATGTTGATGTTAATGGTAAAAAGGTTAATGGAACAAACATGTTAATAACCCACCAACGAGATGCCTGCTACTGTGCTAAATGGATTGGAAAGAAAGAAAAACGGTTTCTGCTCTTGAGTAAATTAAGTGTTGACAGTTAGAACATGTCCACTCTGGGTTAAGAAATGCTTGCCCTCACTTTAAACTCAAGTAAAACTTGGAATGGTTTGTTGGAAGAGATTTGTTTGAAATGGGCTTTGAAGAATGAATTGAGTGGGGCTTGAAATAAAGTGTCTGGGAATAAAGTATGTTATAACCGGTGATGAGGAAGTGGTCCAGTAAGGAACACTTTTGAGAAAGAATGAGGAATCAGGCTTGGATTGAGTCTCACGAGGGATTTAGCTTGATTTGAACAACGTGAACCAGAAGCATTGACTATAAGATTTTACACTGAGCATCCAGAAATCATGGATAGGAATTGAAAGGCTCTGGAGGGAATAATTGAGCAATCTGGAAAATGGAGAGAAAGGGCAGATCCTTGCAAAACCCTAAATACCTGGGTCTCTTTGGGGGAACTATTCTCTTAGCAGATCTGCTGCTAAACCATGATGTATGTGAAATCTGTGATTGAAACAAGGTTGAAATGAGGAATGGGAAGTCATTTCAGGGATTCGAAGGCAGGTGAGACGATTAAACTGGCACATGTGGCAGCATTCAGGAATCCCTGCCAAGGAAAGTGACTGCTGAGCAGAGGACCAATGGTGTAGATGGATTTAGAGCAAGAATTGACTGGACTAGATTGTAGAAGTACGGAGGAGTCTGAAAGGAAGGAGGAGGTACAAAAGGGAAAGATGGCGTAATTTAGAAATGTGTAAGCCTATGGTTCTGGACATAAGGGTAGTAGGTCTCCTTGAGAAGCATTTTTTACATACCTTACTTGTAATTATTAGTAATCAGACCTCTAAAGCAGATTTTGGAGGGGTAGGATTTTGATGAATTGTTGAAGAGTTCACACTTTTAGAAGTGAAATGTATCAGTAGACAGTAGATAACGTTCAGAATTAAACAGGCATAAAGTACTGGTATAATTGGAAGTTCACCAAATGAGGAAGCAGATGAAGAAGGTGAAGGGAGATTTAGTGTCCAGGTGAGAATTTCATGGATCCTCTTGGGATTTCAAAAAATGTGTATGTGGTAATCCATTCCCTGCCATTTTATTATTCCAGGGGACCTAATCTAGATTGCCTTTATTTCAGAGAATTCCTAAAAAGGTGGTTCATTTGGGACCACAACATGATGTAGATCTCCCAGGACCCTATAGACCACTCAAGGTGGTAGGTGTAGGGTCTCCTACATCCATACCTGCCACACTAACTCCAGCAAGAGCCACTATGGGACCAGGGGTCAAGGAAACAACAGCATTAGCAGTGCCTGTCTGTAGCCTTCCAACTCTGGTAACTTTTGCTTCCTTTGATTATTTGTGAATTCTGTGGGCTTTCTTCTTTATTAATAAATCATGTGAAGTGTAGAAGAAGGTTTTTCATATGGTAGTTTCTCTTGCCACAAAATCTTTTGGTTACAGTTGTAGATCTTTATATCTTACTTTTTCCATATCTTAGTTAAGAAATTTAATTTATCACTCCCTGGGATTATTTTACTTGCCTAGGAGCTAGACCCCAAATCATTGAGGGTTTTTTGTTTTATTTTTAAGTTAACCAAAGACATGAATTAAAACTCTACAGAGAAACCTGGCTATATATTTCACCCTGTGCTTCATATTGCAGTGAAATCGTGAGTAGCCAGAATTCTCAGGGGGTGTTCTTTTCTGTTTAATTGGATTTGCACAATTTCTTATAAGCAGGAAGTTTTTATTTTCACCATCCTCAAAAATCCCCTCAAGTAGAAGCTACCTTAAATTTTTTTTTAATATGTTGAGACTCTTTAATGAGTCAGAATTATTGGTTTTGTCCCTGATCACTGTAGAGCATTGTTAGATTTTTAGATACTGAGATGAATCCCCCAACCCCAGACCCTACACAGGGATTTTTCTCTGAGTCCTTGATGGGATCTTGTTTTGTTTAGTTTCTTGTCTTTTCATTTTTAAGGAGCAATAACGGAAATATAATTAGTTTAATGTTCCAGGTTATTGGTTTCTGGTTAATTGAACTGTGGGAGATTATCTTCACCCACCACCAAATAGCAATAAATGCATTATCATTTTTATGATAATGGCACAACTAATGAGTGCCAGGAACGACAAAGAAAAGGCAAACACTCTTCCTTTAAAAAGACCCCACCATTTTGTCCACAGGCAGTTCTGCCTTCAAAAATAATGGCATACTTGAACCCCTATGGTCCAGGTCTTTGAATCTGTCTGTTAAGTAAGGCATTTGGTTCTGGAGTAATTTATCTAAAAAGAGATTAAGATAGTTTTGTTTAAAGGAGCACTTGAACAACTTTGTTTATACATAGTTAGAATTAAAGACCCATTTTTAATTCCTGTAGTGTTTCAAAAATAGCATGTATTTATTTCCAATTGTAAAATTTTTACATATTATAAATTTTTTTAAAATACAGAGGACAAAAAATAATTATCCGAAGATAACACTGCATTTTGAGGCTGTCTTTTTTTCATACATCCATGCTCTTCTTAGGCCTCCCCATCTTTTCTACAGACCTAGGGTCATACTGTACATCCTGTTTGTTTCTACCTGACAGCCTGACCTTGACCTTTGTCATGAAGTGTTCTCTGACAACTTGATTCTTAATGGGTTCGTAGTATTCTCACATATCAACAGTTTTTGTTTTTTAAGATTTTGTTTATTTGACAGAGACACAGCAAGAGAAGGAACACAAGCAGGGGGAGAGGCAGGCAGAGGGAGAAGCAGGCTTCCCACTGAGCAGGGAGCCTCATGTGGTGCTCGATCCCAGGACCCCAGGATCATGACCTGAGCTGAAGGCAGACACTTAACAACTGAGCCCCCCAGGCACCCTTCAGCAGTTACTTATTGTACATAATTAAAACCATGTTGTGAGACATTTAGATTGTCTTTGGTTTTTTGCTAATGTATGCTTTTATGGCACTGTGGTAAATATCCTTTATGTAAATCTTGGGGTGGATTCCTGGGTGGACTTTTGTTGGAGTCAGAGTATATACACATCTTTAAGGCTTTTGCTACCCATTGGTTTCCATTACTCAAGACAGAGTATTTA